ACTACAAAAAAAGTTCACAACACCCAGGCTATTTTACCGTTATCTAGATTCTCTTATGCTAACACTGGCGATCAGGATAAAAGGTCACACAAAGCTGGTTATCAGCTCAATAAGTTAACCCAGGGTTTCTCTTGTGCGTCAACACAAGAAGGGTGGTATTGGCTGCATCTAACCAATCTAAAAGAGGCATTTCACGGATCATATGATCTTCTTCCACACAAAATGATCCCTATGAGTGTCACCTAATCCAGAAACTATCAATGCGTGATTAAACGTCTAGGATGAAAGCTTTAGATTTCGGACACAAAACAGTAAAATAAATATTTTCATTCCAGTTGATTATTTTAACACTGAGTGCGCTCTCAGTCCTGCTGTTTATTTCTAAGGTGATGGCTGTGCATTAGAGCTCTGAAACTTTAAACTGGATCCATTTGAATATTAAAGCTTACTGTCCCACAGCTTAATACTATTATTAATAATATTATTCTGAATAAAGGAGATGTTTACATTGCCATAGTTTATTGCAGATAAAAGTTAAAACCATATTATTGATTGAACAGGCATTCTTTGTGTGTCCTGTGTTCTAGTAGCTGTAATACCACCAGAGTAAAAGATTAGAATTAAGCATAACAGCATTTTATACATTTTTTAAATCACCAAGTTAATCATGCACATTGCCGTTATAATATGACTCACAGGTTGTGCTTCATTCAGTGGTTTTACTAAGGTACACATTAATAAGCTGCACACACAAGCATAGACCAGCATACAATCTATGTTGCAATTAAAACGTGCTGTGAATAAAAGGATCAGTGAATCATGCCGCTTCCAGTTGATTTTAAACTTAAACTCAGAACATAACCCGCTCTTAAAAATGTAAGTTTTTGGTCTCTCAGCTGCAGACTCAGTGCTGTTTAAGGGCTTGAAAGTAAATATTAAATATAAAAACAGAATTCAAACACAGGATTACTACAAATTTGATATGAGGTCATTAAGGACAGTGTAGCCGTCCTGTTTTAGGTTTATATATTACTACTTATTTTATATTACTATTTATTACTCATAAAACAAAAAGCTGTTGTAAAATTGTTTGCTGCCAACACAGAAAACAAGGAATAAGTTGTGTCTAAAAATCTGTATTTATTACTGATGCTCATCAGGGAAACACAGAAACTTTACATCCTACAACTCTCCCCACAGAGTTCTCCCGGGTCTTCCAGGTTAAGTCTACAGCATAAATTACCGTGATGACTTACCTCGGTAAAAAGTGAACCACCTATGTAGTACAGAAAACCTAGGGTTAACCCTGAAGCTACCTGGATAATCCAAAATCCTGCTGACAAGTACAGGTCTCGGTCTTACAAATGCAACGTACGAGTACTTGCCCAGTATTTATTCAGCAACAATATGGACCACCTGGGGAAGAGTAAACAAGTAGAAACGGGAGCTTTTATATATATAAACCAGCTGTTCCTCTCACCTCTGGTCTGCTCAACTGTCAGAGTGGGCTGCTGTGCTGGAGCTGAGGCCATGTCTGCAGAGAAAACAGAAAGCCACGAAAAAAATAAAGCTACTGTAGACGCACAGATGTAGACAAAATTAAAAACATTTACATTTTGTAATAATAAAAGTAGGAAAATTAAAGGAAGATCGAGGTAGCTTCAAGAATATGAATCATCTTTGTTTTATTGAAATATATTTTAATGTATATCATAATGAGAACTGTTAGCTTGATAAACCAATAAAAAAAAATATAGAAACCGCAATAATAGCACAACGACACGTATATATAAAGGAGACGTGGTGGTTATGTGGTGATTAGCATCTGTCTCCGATCGTTCATTAAGTAGCTTCAGTAGCTTAAAATTTGACGGTTATCAACAGCAACAGCAGCTAAAAATCCATTTATTTATTTACCAAACTAAATGAACATAAAACAGTATAACATTTGGGGAACTCACCTCTACTGAAAACAATCACTAAGCTAGCAACAGAACTGTGAAACTGTCGTAAAACGGGGACTGTTGGAGGCTTCTTGCGACACACCATCCTGCTTTCAGATAGACGTCGACGTAAAATGTAAACATACCTGTTACTAAGCTAGTAGCAAGTCATCAAACTTAGACTGAAAGTTCGTGTGTGCGAGAGAGATTTACTGTGCTTCGAAGGGCTTATAACTTTAACGTAAGCTTATAGAAGTTGTGAATGAGTTGCTGTCGGTTCTTAATTATCCATGGAGCAAAAGCTGGCAGAGTTCAGAGCCAGACGACAGGCTGAAAAAGCTGCTCAGAAGAGTGAGACTACTGGTTCACAATCCAGAGGGGAGACAGCAGCAGACACCGCTGCTCAGTGTGATAAAACACCCACAGCTGACAGTCTGCAGCCTGAAGACAGGGCACGAAACAACCAGACTGCGACCGACGGCTCTCAAAGCAGCGTAAGAGATAATTTCAATCGGGAAGCTCATGAACTTCCCGATTTAGCTTGTTATTTTAAAGATCGGACTGTGCGTGATAAATAGATTGCTTCGTCTGCTTTGCACTAATAGTATTGTTTTACAATTGGCAATAATTTAAAAAAGCACACTCACGAACAATGACAAAGTAAACCATCAAATATAACAGTAAACAAACGCACAGACCACATCATTAGTTACACCTGCTAAAAGTGATTTCCATCGTTTCTATTTTTTCATATCTAATATATTTGCCCACACTGGTAAATAGGCTGTAGTCAACAGGATTTACGAAGGGTTTACATATAAAATAAAGAGTTAAATAAAGAAAATGATTTGAAGGTATTTCCATGACGTTATTTCACCTACCCTGTTTTCTACATTGGCCATTTAAAATATCTTCTAATGTTATTGGGGTGTTTTGTTTTGACTTGATATAATTCACAAAAAGATATGTTTTAGATACTTTTGACAGATTATAGGCCAACAGTGTTTACAACTGTGTAAAATAAGCAGTCCTTTTTTGTCAAGTACCAGAACACACCTTCTGGTATTTCGTTTGAAATCAGGTTGGACCTCCTTTAGCCACCACAACTGCCTATATTATTCGTGGGATAGATTTAACAAATTGCTGGAAACAAACATAAGATCACAGAGGTGCTCTATTGGATTGAGGTCTCATAACTGTCCATTCGAGGACAGTTATGGTTTCTTAACATTGTCTTGTTAAGAAACCAGTTTGAGATGATTTGTGGTTGTGACATGTTACCCTGCTGGACAGAGCCATTAGAAGATAGGTAAACTGTGGTCATAAAGGTATGCACTTCTGGGTACCTTGGTTGTAACGATTGGTTGAGTTACTGTTTCCAAAAAAGTGTTGGCTTTTGATGGCATTATCTACAAGAGAACTGCTACCCACTGGATATTTTTTCTTTTTTGAACCATTCTCTCTAAAGATTAGAAATAAATGCCTTTGTGGGAAAAATAATAAAGTAGCTGTATTGATTGCAATGTATTGATTTGGAGATCCAAGCTATTTTTTGTAAGCTCATATTATTTCTCAGCAGCGAAGGAATACTCACTGTACTGTATATGTTCATTTAATCCCCACTAAGTCATGTACAATTTGTGAGCTGTTTCTAAGAAAACTGACATCCTATTGTTTATTTATTTTATCCAGTTTGGTGTATTTGTAGCATCACATGTTTTTATTCTTCTCTTCTTCTTTTTCTGTTGTGTATTCACTATAGGATCGTGGAGACTGGCTGCTGGATAGCGCTCTGGGAAAGTGGCTGGCTTCCCGACAGTTTGTCATTTCTAACATCACTTTACTAAAAGTGCTGCTATGGCTGGTTCTGCTGGGTCTGTTTGCCGAAATGGAGTTTGGTCTCCCCTTTTTTGTCATCTCTCTCTTCTACTGGCTCTATGAAGGACTCCGGAGCCCAGCGCCGCGCAAGCCTGGTGAACTGAGTGCTTATTCAGTCTTCAATCCAGACTGTCAACCTCTGCTGGGTGCTCTAACCGCAGAGCAGCTAGAGGGAGAGATGGGCTACAGACCTCTAGCAAACAGATGACTTGCCTGTGATATGCACATTGACATCAAATATTTAAATTTTCATCTGAAAAATGTTAACTTTTCTCCCATTTTTTTAGTTGCTGCTTCTGTATGCCACATTAAAATGTAACTGGTCAGCCAAAAGTTTTATTTCTGTTTCTACTGTAAACTACTTTGATAGTGTACATCAGTTATATATAATGGCTAAATCATGATGGTGGGTTGGCATGTCTGTAATACAAGTTTTTTTTTTTTCATTTAAACATGGATGTACTCCTAATTCTCTGATCAATGTGAGTTTATTTGAAAATACAGAAGCCATATTGAGGATTAAAGAAAAAAAAAACAGCCTCTACTGAGTCAAATGAACTGCTTTTAATTTAACTCAGTAAATGGCTATTTTATTTTATTTTATTTTATGTTTACATCTTAATTTCTTAACTTTACATCTTTGTGTTTTTTCTTTAGCTACTAGAGTAGCTCAAAATAATCTGTTGTATTCTAGGCCTTTAAGCGACCTTACTGCTGATTGGTTGCTCCTGTCAAACAGATGATTGAAAAAGCATGTGAGCATTCACTAGAGATGACCAAGTTAAGGTATGTGGTCTTATTGATATCACACAGGGTCAAGTGTACAACAAGTGCTGAAACCCTGCATTTAAAGCAGCAGCTTTTGGTTCTCAATGATTATTTGTGCAGACACATGAACATCCACTACTGTAATGCTGCATATGACAGAAAATTAGGAGGGAAAAAAAGTACAGATGTCCGATAACAAATTGTGTTTGCGATTCACGAAGTGGAGTTCTAAAATGCAAAACACAGCTTTCTCACTGAAAACAGAATTACGGTCAAGAAAACTGAATGTTAAATAAAATTTAAACAAAAAACTGTACGGCTGTCCTTCCTTTCCTCCCCTTCGACGAAACCGGCGGGCACTTTGACCCGTCACATCTATCATTACAGAGAAAACGTGTTTCACGAGCAAAAGCGAGATGGTTCACCTCCATATTCCGGTGCTTCCGTAACGGTTTTACATTGTGATTAGACCAGTTTTAAGCAAAATTTTACGTTGTTTTGCGTAACACAAATTCGAATTACTTACACACATTCATATATGAGAGATAATTGCTGTATTTTAATCCGTGTCGGCGTTCTTATTATTTGTTGACGGGTTCATTCTGAAACGTTGCTGAGAGTTTGTCTTTTGGGCGAGGGGGTACTATCTTGTGGGGATCAAAGGTCTACCACTTCCTGCATCTCCCTCCTTCACAATCTCCAGGTGCAGTCCAGGAAAACTGTGGCTATTGCACAGCGTTAGCATCAGTAAGTACTCATCAAAGTTAAGAGGATATATTTTTTAATATTCTTCATTTTAGATTTTTAGTCACCTAGCTTTGAGCTATAGCATGGTGGCTAATTAGCCTTAACTGCACGAGCTTACTTAGAATTCCGTTTACACCCGACTTTTAGATACTTAGCTAAACTAATCACTCTAAAATGCAAAGTTAACTACTTAATATTTAAGCTACGAAGCTGGTTATCGAAAGACGGCATTCATTGAGTTTTGAACTATCAATGTTAGGCTGTTATTAAGTACATTTAGTACTGTACTTACTAAAATGCAATCTTAACATACTTAAACTTTAGTCTTGTTTACTTGTGAGACCTTATACCTGTACTGCACTATATTTCAGCGAGTAATGTTTATGTTTGTGTAATTTAATTACTTTACAAATTTATGCACATGAGTACAAGGTATACTAGAAATTATTGATTTACACAGTAAAGTACAGCTGAATGATTAGTCAATTAATCAGCTGCTGCACCCACAGCATAACCTATGCCACAGATGACCATATTCGGGATATCCACATCCTTTAGCATTATAGGGAGTGGAGAGTGGAAAGACCTGCTTGAGTAGTCGTTTTTAGACCAGTCAGACCTGTATGTATGTATGTGTGTGTGTGTGTGTGT